CGCCTATAATACCGCCCACGATAGCGCCTATAATAGCACCGGACGGTAGATTCCTCGCCTAGGTCCCCGTAGCCGTATTATCGACAGGAAGTGCCGTAGATTACCCTCTTTAGGAGTTAGCTATCCTTAATTCCGGAGCTATTCTTTATATCTTTAACGATATCACCCGTTTTACTTATTATAGGCCTATAATATAAGAGGATTACATTATCGCAGGCAGTTCGGTCCTCCTACTCTAAGGCTTCGGCACCGTTATTATACGGATAAAAGGAATAACCGGCAGCCTTAATTTCAAGATCCTTAATATCGCCTACTATAAAGACTTTACCTATCATTTAATCTCTAACTAACGCCTCTGTAATACAGGATACTAGTAGAATTAACGGCCACTAAACGACTATTTACGACGTACTAACAGATTAATTCTATATAAGCTAAGTTACCACCACGATTAAAGCGTTATTAGATATTTACCTCTTAACGATACTCACGCTCCTACCACTACTTTTCTAGGTCCGCCTGCCCGTAATACAGCACTACCTACTAGTAACGCTAAGGGTATACTATAGTATCTACAACTAGGGTATACCGGCCCTAAACCGCTAAAGTACCTAGAAAAGCAGTCGTAGGGCGTTACGGTTAGAGGTCTAATAACTATAGATTATAATAGTTATACGCAGACTACAATCACCCGATAAAGTAACCGATAGCCGCGTACGGCTCTTACCTACGCTAGAGAACGGTAGGTAGTGAATCTTACCGATTTTACCAGGAACCCTGATAATAATATTAAGGTTATATTCTTTACGGACCGATATAGCGGCTTTATTGCCACCTGTATTATAAAATTAAAGAGAGCGGAGGATATTTATACCGTTATATAGGAGTTTCTGCTATAGTTTAAGCGGTAGTTTAACCGAAAAGTCCGTGTTTTTAAGAGTAATAATAAGCTAATATAATTAAACAAAATCCTGGCCTTATTAAGAGATTTTAGTATCTAACTAGAGTTCTCCTTAGCGGAGACTCCCGCTTAGAACGGCGGTTCTAAACGCTCCGGCGGCGTTATTATCACTAAAGGCAGGGTGATAAAAATCCACGCCCGTTTACCTAACTATGTATAGTTCGAAATCGTCCCCGCGGGGGTATACTAATATAACCGTATACCTATTTAACGGCTTAACTAGTATTCCTTATACTATATTCTTTTCGGCCCTAAACCAATAGTATAGTACCTTGAAGCCTACGGCTCTAAGGCGTTTACGATAGCCAGAGACGCTCTAATGGTAAGTAATAAGCTATTAAATCGCCTCGCGCTACATACCTATATTATGTATTTAATAGGCTACGATTCTATTAATATCTTCCGTATCTAGATACGCGGCCTACGGCGTAACCGTATAGTCCGTACACGCGATATATTCTTTAATAAAGGGCAGTTCTTCGACGGCGATATCGCTACCTTAAAGGACGACCTGTTATATATAACTAAAAAGAACTAACGGAAATCGTTAACTAAATCCGGGTACCGGAGGATAAGAACCTCCCTCTAAGCACCTTTACGGTTCTATAAGATACGCACCTATATACTTTATTCTATTTTAAGCTAGTCGCTCCCCTGGAGGATAAGAACCTCGCTTTTGAAGCCGTGTAGCAGATCTATCGCCTGGTAGATAAGAACACCCTGCCGGACGGCCGGGAGTATATACCTCCCCCGGCGGATAAAAACCTCCCGCCGGATATACCGTAGGAGCCGAGCGGAATAGGGGGTAAAGGTTATAATATAGCGGCACCTAACCCTATTATTATAAGGGCGCTTAATCACCGACACTCGTAGCTAATAATCTAACTACTAACTCGACTAAATACCCCTCCCTCGATAAATCTCCTAATAGTAGCGGAAGTTATAGGCATAAACCCTATAGTACCGCGAGGTGATAATAGCAGCAATAGCACTTAGATCTCTATATTTAACACCGGCCGGTATAGCCCGTATACCTATATATTAGATAGTAAACTGCTAATAACGCTAAGGATTAGGAAAACGCTTAAATAACTGTAATAACGACCGTTAGAACCTGTAGCTCCCGCGGCCTTTACCGTGGCACCCGCGGTTCCCGTCCCCAGGAAGATCCACTAGCGGGAACTACCGGCGCCGCCGAGAGACTAATATATCCTTAAGGAGTATCCCTACGCGGAGCTATTCCGGCAGGCGTAATAAGACTATCTACGGAGCTACCGGGAGATAGTATTATAGATTACGGTCCCTAATACTACTATGGCTAAGTATTAGGTCCTCGATTATATATAGGTATTAACGTATAAATACGATAAATATAGTTTTCTATATAAATATAAGGCACGTCTTATTGTACTTGGAGACTAATAATATCGGGATTCCCTTGATAATACCTACATGGCTATACTTACAGGATATTCGTTCCGGGCCTTAATAGCGATTACGACCTATTTTAACCTTTTCCTAATATAATATAATATTATTAACGCCTTTATATACGCTCCCCTTTCCTATAATATGTTTATAAGAGGACTACTAGGTTATAAAGATCCGAAGAAGCATCTACTACTAAAAAGGGCACTATACAGTCTTAAGGAATCTCCCCTCCTATAGCAGAAGTATATCACTAAAGTGCTCCTCGGGGATAGTTTTATAATAGTACCGCAGAAACTATATTAGTTTCTACGGCGTGGTGTTATCCTATTCTTCTACGTTAATAATATCGTTATTACTTATAAGGACTAGTATAAGAGTAAAATAGAGTGTACTATTCATAACCTTAAACGGTGTTATTGCCTATAAAGGGGTAGACTTCTATAATAGTTCCTTAGTATTAGTGCTATTCGCGATAATACCGAACGCCGGATTTGGCTATTATAACGCGCTTATATCGCTATACTAGAACGACTATTAAACCCTGGAAAAGAAAGCTCTTACCGGCCTATATATCCTATATAGACTATAGAACTAATACCTTATAATAGTAGTTCTATAGCCGTTAAAAGCTATTAACGTAAGATAGGATCTATACTATATATAGCTATAATATCGCGGCTAGATATAGCATTTACGGTATCGCGGCTTTGCCGATTTAATACTAACCCCGGGAAGTATATCACGATACCGCTAACTATTTAATTCGATATCTACTAGCCACCTAAAGCTATACTCTAGAACTAGGGAGTGGAGATATAATTAAGGTCTATAGCGACGCCTTATTTACCGATAATATAGTAGATCGAAAAGGCAGTTAAGGATCTATAATACGCCTCTTTGAAGGCATAATCCCGTAGCGCGCTAATGAATAAGTAACGGTTATAATATTCATAATAGAGGTAAAGCTATTATCTTTAGTATAAGGTGCTAAGGAGGGTATCTTTATATAACGACTATTACTATAGCTAGGGGTAGAATTTAATAAACCGTAACTATAGATCCTATGCAATAGTAATCAGACTCTCCGGCTAATAAATATTAAGATCGCTGTATTAAGCACGCGTTTACGGCACGTGGATATCTATAACTATTAGTTACGGGAAGCCCGGGAATAAAGGAGGATTAAGGTTTTCTTTTCTTTTTTTCTTTCTTTTTTAATTCATTACGCGCGTGCAGCCCTAAAGCTATGGCGCGGCGCCTATCGCCTTAGGGGCTAAAGGCTAGTAGGAGCTAGTACAGTAAATCAGTAAGTAAGAGTAAGGATTAAGGTTAGCTACGTTATAAGTCCCGAAATAGTGGTAGACGGATTAACGAAAGCGTTAACGGGCGATAGATTTATAGTATTTAGAGCCTAGGTAAGCGTGGTAGATATATAGGACCGCCTCTAGTAAAGGAAGCTAGAGGAGGTCTTAACGGATTATTTAGAACGCTTAGGGGATAAATTTAACAGAGGCTACGTAGTAATAAAACCACTAGAACTATCAGTCGGCTATAAATAGCTTTAACTACCTACCCGTTTAGTATAATTATACAGTTAAGGGAGTGTGTCGTATAGGCCTGTCTCGGGGGTAGGGTGACCTAATAGCCGAATACGCGGTTAGGCCTAATAGTGGATATCCGTAGGACTTCGGGCACTAATTTTGCCTCCTATAACCACACGTTTAGTAACACGTTTTATAACGGTTTACGGCTTTAATATAATCCATTTAGAATCTCTTGATCTAACCGTTCTTATCGTATATTTACTCTATTACGGTTACGCTGTATTTAACAATTAATACTATAATAGGTTGAATTAGTTCCTATATAAAAAAGCATAAAAACAATGTTATAGTTATTTACACTCGTTATAACCGTATGTAGTTATGTGTAGAAGACAGGATTCCGAAAAAGGAAATTCAAGGGTCTATAACCGAACTATAGTCGGAATAACCAGTTACTACAGTCGGAAGAACGGCTCTCTACTTCATAATTCGCGGGTAGATTCAGTACTATACGGCGTACTATATATGCCTAAAATTCCCTTGTGTGACCAGCCAATCTTGGTATAGCCCTGCATGGAAGAAGCTGCGACGAGGACGCTCAGTGGCCCGGCCGGACGAGCAGTGGAAACAGACGCCTGCCTTCGCCCAGAGCCAACGTACCTATCCGTCGTTGAATGAGTGCTGTTTCTATTATATCGTGCTTTATTCTTTGTCTCTGGGGTGCCGTCAAGATGAAGCATGCAAGAAGGCGGACTGGATCTCGGTCGACCACCGAGCCACATGCTCTGTCGAGTCTTTGTAGTTAAGAGAGAGAGACGGAGAGAGACAAAGAGGGGGGCAACCATGTCAACGTCAACGTCATCTGGAGACCGCATGTTGTTTGTCATTATTTGAGGTTTCGAATGTTGCATATTGCTGTAGGTTTCGCTTCAACTGAACTCCCGTGTTTCCTCAAGGGCCCACGTCCTAAGTCATCTCATCAACTGGCTTCCTTCCAGCCCCATGCAGACCTTCAACCTAGGACTATTATGTATCCTTAAATGATTAAATGAGAATTGCAGGTTCGTGCGGTAAAGGCTCAAAAGAAGTGGTATTGACGGAAAAACACTGACGGAAAAACAAAACACAGCGATGAACAACGTTATAGCCTAACACAAATCGGGTTCGACGCCGATTTCCCACCGGGTCCGCGGGTTCCCTCCACTCTGTTCCTTCCTATTAAACAACCTGCTTGTCAGGTCCGGGGAGATATGTTGCCATCCGCGAATACGCCCCAGCTCCAACGAGAATGCCCTCACCATGTTGCCAATCCCATGGATATTCCATTCCTCGCCCCCAAAGTCTCTTGGGTGTATCCGCGCAAGGCACCCCCCGAAATTGTATACTGGAAACTGACAACCACAACGAAAACGAAAAACAAAAACGAAAAAAAAAGAGAAAAAAAAAACCCTTGAATCCGCAAGTACAATCTGTATATCGAACAAGGTATCTGAAATAAAGCTCGAAACGAAGAAGAATAGAAGAACAAAACAGTATCTCGAAAATGTCGACGAACACATCTTGGAAAAATAGAGCCAGAAAGCTAACAGAAAGAGAGGGAGAAAAAAAAAATTGGACAAGACACGGGCAAAAAGCCCCGACGTGGTTGCTGGAAAATGAAAGAGACAAGAGCAACTCAATAAAGAAAAACGATGAAAAGGAATAAAAAAGCAACGTGAGAAGAAAAGGCGGGAGATCGGAGCGCCAAAGAAACACAACCCCGTTCCTGGACCTGCCAACAAGATCACATACACAGTGATGGGTGTGTGCCACGGCCTGCGCCTTCATACCCAGACCTTTTACCTCGAACACTGCAAAAACTTCCAGAGCCGCCATCCCAAATCCTCGTCCTGTCCATTAATACGGGGCGAAACCCAATAAGAGAAAACACGTAACCAATGCTGCAGATGCACGAAGCTGAGGGGAGATAGTTCCAAGTCCGCGTCCGAATGAACCATCCATCCCTGCCATCTCGAGCAAAGCTTGGATGGACGGGATGAGAAGCGAATCCCCGAAACGCTGTTCAGGATCGACGGGAATGTATGTAGGGAAAAACGCAACTCCGTGGGGAACAGGAAAAAAAGAAACAAAAGAAAATCGAGTCATCAATCATGGCTTCCAACTAGTACACGCTATCCTCATCGGCCCCCTGCGAGATCATCGAAGGGGTAGAGACGCTGGAGGACGCTTCCATGTCGTCGACATAGCCGACGAGGGCCTGGGAGTGGAGACGAAAGGATTCGCCAATGAGTCTAGTGATCCTGTCATGATTGTTAACATCAAGATACGAATGAATGGGGCCCACGGGCATCGGACACTTACCCCCACACAACCACCTCGTCGAGCATGGAGCCCCAAAGACGAGCAACGATCGAACTTAGTTGCGGTGCGTGCGCTCCATCAAGCTCTCTGTCAAAGAGCTGTCGCACCTTGTTGTACATGGCCAGTTCTTCCTCCGTGGCGGGCTCCTCGTCATGTTCCAGACGGTAGAGCCACAGAGAGAGGGTAATCATGAGGTCTAGTCCACACAAGACGTGCTCAACGCTCCAATTCGTTGGTGACGTTCGAGCCACCCAGCGGACGCCTTGCAATACGGCAATTTCAATGCAGTTATAGCATTCCTGGATGACCTTGACCATTTCAGTCGACCTCTTCACGCGGTCTCGCGCATTCGACATGGCAGCCGCGACTTCGTAGGAATCGTGGTATCGAAGGGCCTCCTGGACGGTCTTGAGATCCACCTCCAGACGAGCTCGAGCGTTTCGATGCAACGCCTTTGCATTAAAGAGCAGGGGGTGGCCCTTGTGGGGTGCACTGAGCGGCACAGGAGTCGTCTCTGGATCACAGAGCTCGAGGGATTTCTCCCATGTCTCTAGAGCGAGACGAAGCTTGTACTCGGTCACAACGTCCTGCAGGGCTTCGGGACTGCGCTTGTGATACCAGACCTCGAGGAAGAGGGCATTGATCATCACGCGACTCGCAAAGGCGCTGTACCTCAGCGTTTCCCCCTGAAACAGATTGTCATGTGCCTCCATGAAGGTAACTACCGATGTTGCCTTCAAGCATTCTTGCCACGCTGCTTCGTCTGCCACTTTGAGGTTCCACAACGCTTCGGAAGACGGAAGTTGCAAGTCCTCAAACTCATTGAAGCTGATTGCCGGGGTGTGGTTGTAAGTGAGCGTGAGTAGGCCGAAGAAGATGTAAACGGCATAGTACGTCCGGCGACAACCTTCATCCTCAACCCACTCGGCACGACTGGGCTGAGCGCCCCCACGAGCTTCCTGTCTGAGCTTCAGCTCGTACCTGTTCCCTGCCACCATGTTGGCCAACAAACTCTTGATCGAACAGGCCCACTCGAGACCCTTGGGATCACCACTCCAGCTGGCGAAGACCATATTGAGCAGGGAGCTTTGCATCGTCCACAGTGGGCATTTCCTCGAGCTGAAATTCTCCTTGTTCTGCAGAAATTGGCTAACGAGAACCTTGGAGCCTATGTGAAGCATATATGCCTGGTCTTGATCGAAGGCATAGAGAGCGCCAATGCTGAGAACGGCAAGCAAAAGGGCCGGCGACACCTTGGTCGGGTCAAAAGACGTCGGGTGAAGAAACGGCAGGTGATGATGGAATAGCCCAAAGTACGTGGACATATATCGATTCACTGACGCCAAACTGGGCAGCCGGAAGCCCTCCGGAATAGCATGTTCCGAGTCGCTTGCCCGGAGGTTGTCGAGAAGGACGTTCCGTTCCTCGTCACTGGAGATGCTAGGGACGATGAATGCAGCGGCGTCGTCCTGCGGTAAATGCGGGCTGTGCGGTCCAGGGGTGCCCGCGGTCGAATGAGGCAGGGACCCGATCATTGATTGAAGGGCCGAAACCAGGCCATTGCAACCCTGGCTGTTGGCGTGAGACAGTTGCGAAGCGGAGGGCTGCAAAGTGCCCGAACTTGTGAAAGATTGTCGGGAATCAAAGGACCCGGAAGCAGACGAAGTAATGGAATGCGCCTTGGGCTGAACGGTAGACTGGGAGATGAAGCCGTCCCATTGAACTTGAGGAAGCGCAATAGCGCCAGACGGGTATGTCACGGTGGGCTCCATAATGGTAGCTCCGTGGGGCGAATAAGGCGCGGACGGATCGCCTTCATAAGGGCTGTTGCTGGAGCGCATAGCAGCTGTGGCCTTGTGGTGAAGATCGGCCACAAGCATTGCGGCCGTCTCCACGTCGAAGACGCCATCGCTGGTGGCTTCAATTTGCTCGAGTGCCGAAGTGTCAATAGCGATTGGCGACTTCGAAGGCCCAGCAATGGCACGAGCCTTAGGGCCAGACCGACGTTTACCGTCGCTGTGAAGCGGGATTCCTCCGTCCTTTGCATGTACTGTCCGATCATGCCTTAATAACAAGTCGCGGCGTACAAATGTGCTCCGGCACTTCATGCACTTAAAGGGGCGCTCCTTGGTATCTGAACAACAGAAGACGCAGGTCAGTGGGATGCCATATGATAGAAAGAACTGGGTAGAAGAGAGGGTTTGTGTTTACGGGATCTTTCATGTCTCGATCGATGCTCGCTCCGCGAGAAAGCTCGATGACAGAACTTGCATGAATACTTCCGTTCGGGAGCAATGGTTGTTTTTCGTGAGGCCGTAGTTGAAGACGTCGGAGGAAGAACCGCAACGCTTGCGCCAGGCATGTTGAAGGCCTATCCGTACTCGGACAACGGACACGTTCGAATTTCAAATCGATGAAGAATGATTTTCGACGGCGACGCCTGGTTGCAGCAAATCCGAAGTAACGGGCAATTAAACAACGGCGGCGCTCGATAGCCGGAGCGATGGCGAGCCTCGCTCCTCTCCTCCCGTGGCGTTTAAAGGGTGGCTTCTCGGGAAACTGAGATCATCTGGGATAATGTCATAGGAAATGTCGGATCCGATGGGTGATGTGTATCTGAACGATGGCGCTCGCCCAGGTGAGAGAAGGCAGCCCGTCTTGACAAACGACGAGAGCGCTGGTGCTGGTGGATCGTAAAAGGGGAAATCGCGAGGTTGATTTCTTTCCCTATTCTTCTTTTTTTCTTTTCCTTTGCCTTTGCCTTTGATGAGGAATGGGCGGCTTCGGGAATATGGGTGATGGAAAGAGAGGGGAGGGAAGAGAGGGGAGAAACAGGTGATGGGAGGGGAACATTTCCTTAAGGGGAGAGGAGAGGGGTGGAGGGAGAGGCCCAGTGGGATGGAGCCGACCCACGGTGCAACTCATAGGAGATGCCGCGCGTGGGGCATCAGGTCCCCATTCAGTATAGCCACTGTGTGTATACCGTGCGCGTCGCGTTGGCAACGGGCCTCAGTACAACCCACACAGCTGTCACGTTGAATGGAAGGTGCGAGTTGTCCCCACAGATTGAATTCAAGTCTCAGCATTTCCGATCTACCCGGGTCCTGGACAGCATCTGTCAATAGCGACAGGCTTTCGCCATTCCAATCCCTCCTTCCACAAGATGTATTTCGCCCGCACCGCCGATGGTCCGGCGGAAGTAAGGTACTTCACTCTTGAGAGGACACGGGCTCATGGTCACTCGCATTGTGGTTGGCATCTACGAATATGTACTATGTAAACTGCCGGCGACAAGTACTGAGTACATACGTACGTACGGAGTATGGACCTGGAACGGACCAAATCGTCTAAAAGGGGATAGGAGGGAACACGGGATGGATAGGTAGGTAATCTGCGATACAGTCCTGGTCACACCGTACATGTACACTGTACACAAGGAGTACGGAGTACACAGCTGCTTTAAGCTGCAGTACAAAGGTACGAAGTAAGGTAATTAGCAGTGGAGCGAATCCAATTAAGGTATCTTGGAGTGATATACGTATTACCTACCTACAACGGTCTCGGCAGTACATAGTACGGAGTAGTACCTATTAGTATGTGTACAGAGAATCCGTAGATACAACGTAGGTACCTTCCTTTAGGTATGGTAGGTAACCTGTGTGCACAAACATACGAATTTCGAGACCTGGCAAGGGACCAGGGGAGTCCCAGACACGACGAAGCAAGGACACGGAGGGAAGAAGGGGTTCGAAAAAAAAAATGTCGCGTCGCAAGGAACGACCTAAACCCCCGTTTGTCCATGCTTCAATGCTTTATGCTTTATAATAAGCGGGCAATAGGTAATTAATAGGGAATACAGCAGGACCTACTCTCCAAAAGCAACAAGTTGCGGGCTCGTCTGGCTCGAGAGTGACATGCGCGCATAAGGTACCCACGGGTCTGGTCTCCCAGTTTGAGGCGGAATACATGTACGAAATATGTAGGACAGCTGGCACAAGCTAACTTGGTAAAAGCGGTCAACTTGTTGTCTCGAGTCGGTGAACAGGTATTAGTCTGTAGCCTGTGGGTGACCTTACGACAACCCGTGTGGATTGCAGAAGACCACAACCATCGCGACACACGAAAAAAAAAATGCAAGGCGCATGCAGTTCAGCACCTCGTAGGCACGAATTCTCAGCGCTGTCTGAATGGATACAGATACCAGCCACTTGGAAGTTGGCGGGTCTCAGCTGCCATCCTTGTTGACGGGGAGAAGCCGTGCTCCGCCGCTAGTAATATTAGAGGAATGAGATGGGGCCGAGTGGGTCCTTGTCCCAGGGATGGCAAAAGGACACTGTGTTGTCCTTTCCCGCTTGCTCCCGGGAGCCGACAACGTATTCATACATATATACTCGAAGCAAGGTTGGGATAACTGTCGCACGTCAAAATGCACTCTTCTGACTCTTCTGTACTAGGGGAAATCTTCGCGTGTGTGTATTATGTTAAGTTATAACGTGTACTAGACCGTTTACCCTATTTTTATAAGGGGTAGTACTCCTCCGGAAATACTACTCTATTTAGATGCTATCCGGTATTTTACCGTGGGTCCACCCTTATCATTTCCACCCTAAAGGCCTATGCCCATGCCCGAGGCTCGTGCCTACCCTTAAGGCTCGTGCTAATACGATAATAACAGTCATCCCCCATATAGCAATACCTGCACTATAGTACCGTACCTTAGCTAGTAAATGCTATATTATACTGCTATTAAAAAAGAGATCGAGTCGGTATTACGTATTACTAATAGAGTTAGCGGTTAACTAGAATAGAAACTAAATTAGAAATTAAAATTATATATTATATTATATTAAGTATAATATATATAATATAAATTATTATTATTATTATTATTATTATTATTATTATCGATCTTACTCCGCTATCCTAACTTAATCTATAGGAGCCTTCTTAGGCTATATAGTTCTTCTCGGGTGGCTATAGAGGGGAAAACTCGGGTGAGACCCTGTTACGAGCTATAGCCCGCGGAATAGTCCCCGGTAGCGGCCAGGACTAAGAAGCACGGACCTCCTAGCGAGGCCTATACGATCCTATATATACTTAGCCGTCTATATACCGCGTAGACTTTTCCCTTCCCCCTTTCCTCCCTTAGTTCGAATAATCTATATTTTCGGCCTCGATACGTGAATAACTCTTAATAAGCCGTTATAGACCCGGGGAAAACCTCTATACTCTTCCTTAAGGGGAGTATTACTATATAATATAAATATATATTATATAGTATAGAGAATATTACTATTTACTAAAACTATTATATTCTTAATATATAGGATATAGTTTTATATAAGACTACTACTCTTTAAAATATATATATATATATATATATATAAAGATATATATAAGGGAACCTAATTCCCTTAGATTTAAAAAGAACGCCTATTAACTATAGGCGTATAATAGGAGTAAAATTAATAAAACTACTAAGATAGCGATTATAATTATCGCCTCCTACCTAGGATACTACTATAGCGATACCGTAACGTTAGTACTACGGTATAACCGGAAGAGTTAATAGATAGCGTTATCCTGACTTCGACCACGTAAAATTCTTAACGGACCCACTTTTAGTAATATAGGCACTCTGCCCCCCCCGGGGTAGGACGCCGCGCGGAACTAATATAAGACTAAGAGGGGACCGTTACGCCCCCCGAAACTAAGAATAGCTAAAATTCAGGCAGAAATTCAGGCCTTACTAGCTAAGAGGAACACGATTAAGTAGGGGTTTTTTTTTAATTTATTATACGCGTGTAGTTCGAAAGCTATAGTACGGCGCCTATTGCCCTAAGAGTTTAAGGCTAGTAGAAGCTAAGTGTAGTAAATCACGGTAATAAATAAAGGAAATCCTACGTTATAATCTCCCTAATCGACCTAAAAATAAATTAAGTAAAACCTAAAAGAGAGTAACTAGACCGTAGAATACGAGGTTTATACTCTATACCACTCCGGGAAGGCTATTTTAGTAGCTAAAAAATAGGCCTCTAAAGCCTATATTCCTCTTTTAGTACTAAATAATAGCGGCAGAGATAGCAGTAAGCCTACTAGGACTTCTTGTAGGGCTTTTTATTCGTTTTTATAAAAGGGGCAGGAAAGAATAAGGTATACTATATCCTATATAATGGAGCCGGAATAGGAATAGCAGTCGTTAGCGCTATTTTAGGCCCTTTTATATTAGGCTTTTAGGTAACTAGAGCCGGTTTTTAACTAAATAAAAACCGATATTATCTACTTAGGGCCTTACGTTAGTAATAGTTTTCAGGAAACACGGAGGTTATCGCGGGCTAAGCGCCTATAAACGTAGCCTAACCGTACCGATTTACCCCTTTTTGTCCTCTTCCTCTTCGTTATTCTACAGGGTCTTCTAGTCTTAAGTAAGGGCTATATTTACTCGGCGTTTTAGGTAGCGAAGGGTAACTAAATTAATAGACTTCGTAGATTTTTCGGGGTTAAAGGCCCTTTTAGCCACTTTACCGGCCAGTTTATTCCCTTCTATCCTTACGTGCGAGGGGCACCACTATATAGAAACCGAAATACCTAGTTATTTAAGGCATAAGATAGGGGTTTTTATTTCTATAGCCTACTATAAGGTACGCTAAAACTTCTAAATAGACGCCTATAAACCACTAGAAATATAGCACTATAGGGGCCTAGGCGTCTGCTGTAAGGCAGTATAAAAGACCTAACAAATAGCGTAAGATTCAGTGTCCGCGTTTTCGGCAAAGGCCCTAAGGTTAAAGTCTATAGCTTTACAGGGCCTTCCGGTAATAGTCCACTATATTATAGCAGTTATAGCCTACGAGGGCCCTATAAAGGGCCTTATAGGATGGCCTAGAGATCCGTTAGAATAGAATATAGCGGCCTATTCGCCTAAGGTTTTTTATATTTTAACGAGGGCTTCGAGGTAGGCTATTTTCTAAATAAGGGTTCCGGGGCTAGGTTTAGAGCTATCTTTTAGAGGGAAAAAGGGCCTTAAATCTACGATAAGTTCAGAAGCCTAGGGGACCTCCTACCTAGCTATAGAACCCTCGATATTCTAAGACCGCCCTACTAAAGCCACTATTTCTAGGCCTAACCTATATAGCTATATAGTAGGTAGTAAGATCTATAACCAGGCAAGGTCTTCGTGGTTTTCGCTTACTAGGAGCTAGTATTTTATAGGGTAGTTCGGTAGGAATTTTAAGGTCCTAAAGGCATAACGCCTATTAGACCTAGTTAACCGAACCCTGGCTAAAAGGACTACTGCTTCGAGTTCTAAAGGCCGTAAGGGGGCTCGCCTAAAGGCACCTAGGGCCCTAACTAGAGCGCTATACTATAGGCGTTCTAGACAGTCTACGAGGTGTTGTTTTAGTAATTTAGGGTCCTACTAAAGCTACGAGCTGAAATTAGCTAAAGAGGCTATATAGGCTATATATAGCTATAGTACGGCCTTAAAAGAAACGCCTCTCTATAAGCTAGCTAGCCTATGTAGCCTGCTTAGGGCATATAAAGCT